GACTGAGCTTCATATTCTTGATATATGGATATCTGTGAGGGAACACTCCATTTGAAGAGCATCGTGTCAAAGTGGGTTTTTCCATCCGAGTGTCAACTCCCAGAGCTGCAGCGTGGAAAGAGCAACTCAAAGCTTTCTACCCACCTGCCTTGAAATATTCAGAAGCTCGTCAAGTCTCACAAGGAAGGCGCCACGAAACCCACTTGTCTCGTGAGGCAAGAATCACGTCCAAACTGGAAAGAGCCACTCCAGGAGGAAAGAGCCACTCCAGGACAGGAGGAAGGAGCGACCCCAAACACATCACCATCTTTATCACCCCAAGCCCCTATCCCGTTCAGCAGTCCCAAACATGCAGTCCATCTCTACGCTCCTCCTCATCTTGCTACCAGCAACCGCACTTGCCTCCTCAATGGGTTATCCACCCGAAATTGGCATCAACAATTGTCAATACGACTGCTTCTGTCACGCTGATCAGTCGCCGTTATGTTGTGCTGGTGTTGTCGGGGGTGTGACTGATGTGAGTGGTGTAAGCTCTTTCCTTTCCCCCGTTTATTCTCAGGCGTACCCAAAACAACTACTGACGAACAGGATGGTGGGTACAAAAGCACTGCACTGAAATGTCACTCGGCGATGCTCAGAGCTTTGTTCAGTGCTGTGACACCACTTATTCGTGTCGGCAGAGGATGGGATGTCCTGAGTTTGGCGAGGTTGATGGTGGCTGGGGGAAAGGGGGGATGAATGGCGAGGTTGACTTGAGGTGAGGAGGGAGATGGAGAGGGGGTGGTAAAGGTGTAAAGTGGTAATGTGTTAATATGGCAATGTGTTAAAGGGGTACAGTGGTAATGTGTTGAAGAGGTAAAGTGGGAATGTGTTAAAGGACACGAGCCTCAACATCAAGCAAACGTATCCACATATACCTACCTTCCCATTTGTGATTACCATGCTTAAAGTGATTACCAAGCTTAAAGTGATTACCATGCTTAAAGTGATATATGCGTTTTTTCCAACCATGGTCACATTGTCAAAAGAAAGAGATAGCTTGGAACACCGCACATTACGTACCTTGGTGGACGGAGGAGAGGCAAACTACAAAGCTATTCGGACACAGAGGGCAGACCTTCTAAAGATCATCTACCTAAGTAAGGATTCATCCCTCTGCCCCCTTTCAACATCTCCCCTTTGCCCCCCATGACGTCTATGCTGGCATGGAAGATAGGCTACCCGAGACTCACATGACATCCCATACGGGTCTCAACAAGTCTCACAATTGCGAGAGTATGGTGTCATTTCCCCTGATACCCCTCTCTTCCTCGAGGCAGTCTCGGGTTCATTGTTCAGGTTGCCACATTCCATCTACCGGAGCATGTCCGCAAACTCATTCTTGTGATGGGCCCAGCCTCACTCGAAGAGGGGGTTTCATGATGAGACTTTTACATGTTGATTTTGCCCTCAGACTATTGTTCCTGTTGGCAACTTATGCTGTGGGTGAGGTATGTAGACGTGTAGTAGCGTCAAACAGATTGGAAAAGGGGGTAAAGTCAACAAAGCGGTTGTCTACGCTGTAAACTCTTCTTCTATATTTCTGTTCCTGTAGCAGATTGAAACAACCTTGCCCATTTTTTGGAGGCTGTGCCTTTGGTTCAACGTAAAAGTTTTCTTTTGGTTGGTGCGAGCAATGCACTTCTCTTACTCCCTTGCTTCAACTGTAGCTCCCAGCTCGGCGTAACGCCCAGCAGGGTCCAAACATGTGCATGAAGACCTTTTTCTCTGGGTTTGCCTGCTCCCTTACTTTGAGGTCCATGTTAGTGTACCTACCTAGTGGATGTGCTTCACTGCTCATGTCACAATCATAACAATTTCGGCATATAATCGGCCTTTATGCATGTGATGTGACAACTTGAGTGCATGCGGGTGTAGTGCCTCTGTGGGCAATAGCTATGCCGTGAGACAATACCTGCATATGTCACCTTTCCATCATGTATGAGAAGGGGGGTGGTGTGTATTCACTTAGTGATCGCATTGAGTTGTGCCTCTGATGTGCCGTTAGGCATAAGAGCATGAGTTCATTCAATCTTACGTGATCATCAACACGGGTTTGTTGTTGTTGTGGTGGTGTCGTTGAAGGAGGCTGAGCGATGTTGCAGCGAGTTGAAGAAAGATTGATAAAGGATACCTGGCAGGAGAACCCAATGATCGTCCCTACCACAGCACTAGCGTGAGATGCCAGGACCGGGTTGGATCCAATGGACAATGGGGAGATGCAACCGTGACCCTGAATGCACTTACAACGGAACGGAGTTTGGGGGGGGGGATCGGACCATTCAAACCACTCGGACGAATTGACAGATTTCGGTCGGGTCGACCGGAATTGAGAGACAATTGTCAGAGCTCCTTTCCGGCCGGGGAATACAAAGAGCTTTTTACCAAAGCAGAGCTGCAGCGAGCTTGCCGCGGGATAGGCAAGACAGACAGACAGACAGCGACATGGCTGCTTTTTCCACATGTGGATTTGTGGGGGAAGGAGAGCCAATGATCGACGGGATATTAAACCATTCTTTCTTTTTGTTTTCGTTATTCATCACGAAGAGTTTTTATTTTCTTTTTTTATTTCTTTACATTACTCTGTACAAGATCCCTATCGTATTGGTAAGGAGCCAAGAATAAAAAGAAAACAAAGCCCGACCGTGAAGAAAAAGCGTTGCGGTTTTGGTGGGCAGGGGTTCAAGGGTTCGTTATTGAGCCTTTTGACAAGAACTAGTCGGATTTTTTCAGTTGATCAAAAGAAGGAGAAAATGGCTCGTGCTGGCGCCGATGGAGTGCTGCGGTGAGAACTTGAAAAAGGCTTGACCGGTGGACTGGCAAGGGGCAGAAGCGACGGTGACGCGTGTTGAGGAGGGGAACCCTGAAGATCTCCCAATAAAAGTTGGCTTGTGCGCTTCAGACCAACCCCGAGGAAAAGAAAGACACACGGGAACGGGGCATAAACTGGTAATTTTTTTTTCTTTTTCGGATTACACGGTCATGTGCCGGTAATTCTGCTTCTTTGTCCTCAACAAGAGATGAGATGGGAGTGCGGACACGGAGATTGGCGGCGGTTTGTTTTGTTTTGGGTTTATTTGAGCCACAAGAGAGAGGTAAACAAAACAAAGAACATTCTGTGCAATCAACAATATACCCAACCCTGGGCCATGGCATAGTGTCATGTTCCTGAATTATGTCAATCATGACAGTTTCGGCTTTTGGCAAAGGTGGCGAGAGTGGTGGCAGTGGCGGAGGCCGATCTGTCAGTTGGTGTATTGCAAAAGTCAATATTGACATCAGGGGTGTGTGTTGAGGCATGTAATGGCCCTCCCAAGGTGGCCAGAAGAGTGAGAACCCTATCTTTTTTTGGGCTCTTTGGAGGCACAACAGAGGCTTTTGTCCTACCCAGTGGCTATCTTTGGCATGTGATGGCGGCAGACACAGAAGCTGCATTCTCTTTCAGCCAACTCTTTTCTTGCTGAGAGGGTGAAAGGCAAACTCCCCTTGCTCTCCCCTTGCAGGTTGCATGGTGGTATCAAAACGGTCGGCTGTCCAAAGCGGTGTGAGTCTATCTGGCATAGCTATCTCCACACCATCTGTCATGGCCCCTGTCTGCTCAAGGGTAGATTTACAGACCATCGGACTCCTTCCGTTTCCAGGCACCTCTTTAAACAGGCCGTGTGTTTTTCTGTCCCTGCTTGCAGGTTATAAGCTATGTATGACCTTAGTCAGGCGCGACTCGGGGGTAGCGCTGGCGTGAGGCGGTTCGGGGTGGTGCAAGTTTGAAGTGACGTCTTTTGACGAACGGGAAGAACCACGCCACCGTCTGGGCCGCCCGAGTGGGCCACAAAGGACGCTAAGGCCAGGCACGACCAGGGCCCCTGCCCAACGCGGCTGGCTTTCCAGACGCGAGAAAACACGTTCCCAGAGTCACTCCAAGTAAACAAAGTCCTATCTTTTATCGCCCCGTGATCAGCCTGCAGAGAAGCAGAAGGGGCAGAGAGGAAGAAGATCTCCTGTCTATAGTTGACGCAAAAGATTGGCCTCCGTGCCTCCCCAGATTCAAGCATATTGCGTCAAACCCCACCAAGCCAACACCCAACGCGTCCCGTCGCAAACCACCACCACCCACCACCACCCACCACCACCCACCATCGCATCCTGGCTTGCCGCAACTTCTTCCCCGCCCACCGCGCTCCCGCTTACTTTGCGCAAAGCTGATCAACCTTTCCCGTCCATGTGCCTGGAGTGATTTTGAAGCTTGAACCCAGAAAGAAAGAGCCATTCCCAAGAATCAAGAGGAAGAAGAGAAAGAAGAAGGAGGAATTGGAGCCAAAGATGCCTAAGGCTGGCGCCTGACCTATCTGACGTGTCTGGTGTCCACGCGCGCTTCGTTTTCCCATTTACTCACAGGTCCCACCACTCGCCTTTTGCTCCTAGAGAGCGAATACCCTCAACACAACACACACGCACATAACACGCACACACGCACAATAGTAGCCAATCCGAATTTATTATTCTATCGTCGACCGGTTCCGCTTTCAACTCTCGATCCCCTCACCTCTGTCCGTCTCGCCGACGTCGTCGCCGATTGCCCACACCTCACACCTGGCACCTCTCATCGTACATTTCGCCTAGTTAAATTTGAGTTTGCGCTTGCTGCGCCATCGCCCGGAAAGCTGCGCTGTTCTGAATCAGCAACCCTCTGCTCATCGGTGGTTCGCATCTCAGCTGTATCCCGACCATCTCGACGTCTTTGATTTTTGCCAAAGCCTCCCGTCTTCACCACCCACTCCGTCCCTGTCCCGTCGCCGCAGCGTCTGGTCTCTTGCCCAACTTCTACAGTACGTTGGAGGAAAATAAAATAGTATCAAATTTGTTTGTGGGGGTTTTTAAAAACAAAGCTGTGTTGGAATTGCGGACCTAGCTCTTGGGGGTAGCTACAAAAAAGGCAGCGAGGCACACACCAAGGGCCGGTGATGTCGTTCACCAACGATTGCGGGGGGGCACTCACTCTGCCCTCTCCCACACATGTCCACCACGACGTCAGCTCCGCAGTTCGATCACTCCGCAGGTCGCTTTCCAGATCACCATCAAAATTCCGACTCTCTGGCGCTGTCTCTCCTTCTCCCACTCCCACACCAGCAGCTCCATCCAGGTCGGCGCATCTCGAGCATCCAGCTTCCACCCCAATCCCTGCGACACCAGCCGCTCTGGCGGGGCCTTCCTCACCCACTTCTTTTTCCGCACCCCAGCACGGTATTGCGGGTAACCCTTTTGTCAACAAACCAAACATCAAGCTCTCGGTGCGCTCCACGAGGTCGAAGCCGGTGACTCGGCCCCTCTCCAGATCTCGAGGCTCACCAAAGAGCCCTCTCAAGCGCGTTTTTGCCCCCTCTGGCGACTCCCTCAACCTGCTTCCCACCTCTTTCTCGGCGCCAGACACCCGCGGCCAAGAAAACAAGAGCTTCAGGGAGTTTGCGCTTGCGCTGAGCCCCACGTCGCGTCGCAATCTCGAGAAACCCACGCGTCACTCGGTGCACCTCGACATCTCGGGATCCGACAAAGTCTCTTTTCCTGCCATCTCAGTAAGCCCGCTCAAACGGAGCGACGCGACCATGAGTCTGGGCCAGACGGCATTTGGGAGTCCAGTCGCAAAGCGCCGCAGTCTACACGGCATCTCGAGCATGAACAACGAGCCCACCATCTTCGACCAAACCCCGACCGCGCGCGAGTCGCAACAACAGCCGGGCTTCGACATTCACGAGGACGCCAATCTCGAGTACGAATTGACCGGCTCGAACGTGTCGCCTGCCCCAGATCCATTGGCCTCGCCCACCCCGTCATCGCTGCAGAATCGGTCGAATTCGCTCCGAAGAAGTACCCTGCAACAGCGCCACGGAGATACTCGATCATCCTGGGGCCGGCGCGCCGGAGAAAAGGCACAGATGACGCTCGACGCCGGGTCGTCGATGGCGGCTCGTAGCAGACCTAGGCTATCTCTGGACCAGTATGTGCCTATTGTGACCGAGAGCCCCTTCACTCACCAAGGTCCTCTCCCACCTGCCTCGGCGCATTTCTTGGCGCACAAGGCTCGGGAGCAGTTCCAACCTCATCCTCTCTCGCGCTCGTTGACCCAGTCTTCTTCGAACTCGAGTCTGCCAGACGAATCTCCGACCCATGCTCCTGTCCAGTTTGGCGAGAAGGCTCGCGTTCCTCTCAACTTCTCAAAATCGCTTCCACCTGGTGCGCGACCACCCACAAAGGATTCAGGAGATGTTGCGACCCCCAACTACAAGCATGCCAAGCCGTTCCAAGCCGCCTTCATGTCGACAGGTTTGGTGTCCAAGATGAATCGCAACCCCGAACTTGGCCCACCAAAGCACCTCGGAGCGAAGGTCAACATAATGCCAGATACTCCCTGCAAGAAGCAGTACAGCTCCGCTACGTATCCACCCAACCTCAGCGCTGGTCGACGGCAATCGCGAAAGTCGGTTGGCAGCCCTACGACGCCGTTTGGCGCTTCCACCAACGCTCCCCCTACCAGTGGCAATTTGTTCTTCCAGCAGGTCCGTGCGGGGCATATGAGGAAGTCGAGCTTGTTGAGCCTGGATGGGGATGACCTCGCTGGATCCCAAGACGATTTCCCCCCGCCCACCCCGACGAAGAATATCTTCAAGAATGTCACATCCTCCGGGGCGAGCGTCCGGACGCCTTTGGGGACCCCCGGCTTTGCGAGCTTCGCGACGCCTGCAGTTCCCTTCAGTTTGAGCTCAGCAAGAACACCAGCGCAGTCCACCACCCCATCCTTCACCCCACCCGGAGCGCCTGAGAGCACCACTCCCTCCTTCACTCCCCCTGGTGCGCCATCGTTCATCCCTTCGGGTGCTTCTGAGAGCACCACTCCCCTGTGTGCTCGTCAGGATCAGGACAATGGTCACCAGGTCACTGAGCCCATCTTTCGACCTTCCACCCCTTACTCGAGTGCCTCGCCGTTTGTATCCGTCAGCAACAGTGCTCCGGTTATCAACGAAAGCCATACCCCTGCCAGTTTATTCGCGACGCCCGCTCCGAGAAACAAGACGACGCCCGTATTCTTCGCAACAGGCAGCAAGTCATCGTCCAACGAGTATCTCGTCCCCAACCAGGATGCCTCAGGGAGCCCTCTCGGGTCGAAAAAAGCTTCACCTCGCACCCCCGGCGACTCGTTGAAAAATTCCATGCCGCCTCCCGGAGGGAAATCAACCGGGCCTCCTGCCACCCCCTCTACTCACGAGCGGTCTTCACTCTTCGGCGGGGCTCCTGACCGTCGCATGAGCATCACCCCTCGCAACGGGCGTGGTCCGGGTGACGTTGACGAGTCTCTGGTCAGCCGGTTTGTCAAATCCGAGGTCATCGGTAGTGGCGAGTTCTCGACGGTGTATCGGGTTACCAAGCTTGCCTCTCCCGCGTCGTCGTTCATGACAATGGGCATCTCTACAACCCCACAGACACCTTCGAGCCCCGAGTCTGGCAAAGTCTTTGCCGTCAAGAAGCTCCGTGTTCCCATCAGTGGTGGCAGGGAGAGGGAGAGGAAGTATCAAGAGGTGCATATCTTGAGATCTCTGAACCACTCGACCAAGGTTGTTCAGTACATTGACAGTTGGGAGTGGAACAACTATTTGTATATTCAAACCGAGTACTGTACCGAGGGCAGTTTGGATATCTTCCTCAAGGACATTGGTCAGACTGGCCGATTGGATGATTTCCGCATCTGGAAGATCTTGCTGGAGATAGCTCAGGTAAGAGAACTGCATCCTTTTTATGCTAGTCGTCTGTAGGTCACTAACTTTGGTGTAGGGTTTGGCCGCTATTCATGAGGCCGGGTTCATTCACCTCGACATCAAGCCTGCCAACATCCTGGTCACGTTTGACGGCTATCTCAAGATTGCCGACTTTGGCATGGCCACAACGAGCCCTGCCCCGCCGGGAATCGAAGGCGAGGGCGATCGCGAGTACATCGGCCCAGAAATTCTTCGTGGTCGATATGAGCAGCCTGCCGACATCTTTGCGCTCGGTCTCATCATTCTGGAGATCGCATGCAATGTATTCCTTCCCGACAACGGCCCAACATGGCAGGCTCTTCGCATTGCCGACCTGTCTGCTGTTCCCAGTCTTACATCCCCTGAAGCTGGCTCTGTCATTCGGGACGCAAACGGCGTGCCGATTGAGCATCTGTCACCTGTTCAGGAGGATCAACGAGACCCCAACTTCGCCTTTGAAGGCATGACCCACGACCCCAAGAACCTTTTCAGTCCAACAAAGCGGACTGAGTTGTCGGAGCCTCCCTCGTTCATGATGGACAGCGAAGACCCTCATTCTCTTGACAAGATTGTCGCTTGGATGATCCAGCCAGAACCCAACAGTCGCCCTACTGCCCAGCAGATCCTTGCTTCGGAGCCCGTCTCCTGGGTAGAGAGCCGCCGCAGCGGGGGCGCCACTGTTTATGAAGGCAACTGGGGCCCCCAAGTCGGACCCTCCATCGAGGAGCTGATCGATGACGACGACACAGAGATGACCGACGTGTGAAAGTACTTGAAATTCTCACCGATCTTGGAGCCATCAATTTAAGCTCTCTGTCTCTATATCGCTCACCAGCTGGATACGGCGCCACCTTGACGTGGCATGGCCAGGAGCATATGTGTGTGTAAACAATAACAGAATTGGTCAGCTAGGCAGAGCTGGATATCCGATCGATGATGGATGGGATATCGGAACCATTTGGACTCCGCTACTACGGAGCATGTACGCGTATTGTTGGGGATATCAGTTGCTTCGCTCAAGCGTTCGGCAATCGGGCGACATTCTTATCGCCACTTTTTTTATTTAACAACTACGCCTTGCGCGGCCACTCGTTTAACGACAAACGTCAATTTTCCTTGTACACTCAAACAACAAGAAATCACAAAATCATCCAAAACAAAAAAAGATCGACAAGACTCATTCATCGGAGTTTTCTGGCTTTACCGGGAAAAAAGCATCACGGTAGCTGCGGATAGTTCAGCACCGATTAGGGGAGCGGCGTAGCACCATCATTTGGGTTCCTTTCGCATGGAAGGGTGTCATCTATACCTACTTGACTTTGGGGGCGTACCGGAGCGAGGAATAGGCGTTTGATTTGCTCACATGTGCATTATCTGGCGGAACCTCATTGCTGGGAACACATTACATTTCTGGAGTTCTTGGTTTTGAAAGACAAGTTTCTTACGGGAAGACGGTCGAAGTCGTGGATGCGCTAGGAGTCACTTCTTTTTTTTTTGGCTGCAAAAGCATCGGCTCTGAGGGACCTGGCTTCATGACCGCTTCTTTTTCTTTTCCGAGGGACATGACGATTTATGTACGATGGGCGGACTCGGCACAACGGGTTCAACACACCACAACACATTACATGTTTAGAGATTATGTACTGCAAGGGTTCTTGGTGCATTGCTGGCCGGGTTGGTTTTTTCACCAAAATATGGTCTGGTTTTTTTTCTCTTTCTCTTTCTTGGGTGGTCGGCGCGGTATTTTATACGCATTCATCGGGCTCTTCATGGAGAAGAGGGGCGCTAAGAGTGGGAAATCACGATGCTACGATATGGAAGAAGAAGAAGAAGAGAAGGGGAACGGAAACGATGAAACAGGCAACCAGCTCTGGGAATTTAAGAAGAGGAGGAGGAGGGGGAGGAGGGAGAAGAGGGGGGCGACACCATACCTTTGTAGTTCTCTTGTTTGGACGACCTACTTAATAACATGTGTTTTTTCCTTTGTTGATAACATGTTTTTACATAGTCTAGGAGAAAGGGAGGAAGAGGCGGGATGTAAAACTTGGTGGTCTTGTAGCATATAGGCATCTTGGCATCTCGAGATTAAGAGAGGGGAGGGTGTATACTAGACATCGGGTGAATGGGATATTTCTGTACAACCTTTTTGAGTCTTGTGTGTGTGTCGAAGTTGATGTTTTGTGATATTATCCACTATTCTCCTATGAATTCACCTAAGTATATCAGACCAATGGGTAGACTATGAAACTGATTGTGAGTGAGCAGGGGCGGCCGTCGGCGACACAGTAGGTTTTGGATATATGAAGCCAGTGGCACAGAAGACCTACATTTCTCGCCCTGCCCCCAAATCAGAGCAGTGCAACCCACGAAGATATTCCAAGAAAGTACCAACATGTAGTCAATGTCTTCAGAACTATAGGGGTTCTACCTCACCGAAAATTACCAATCATAATGGTGTGGCTGACTGAACGCAGCCCGTTGATGTGAGGCAATATCAAAACACAAGAATAGTTGTTGCTTGCTGACTAGGTACGTAGATTGGCCCGCCTTTCCCCTGGCAACCATAGACGCAACCGTTCCAGGGCTGATTATGACGATGCCAAACATGGACGGCGGGGCGTAAGCCTATGTGGAAACAGGTGGTCGAAACAGAGAAGAATATGGCATGCAAACAGAAAGCATGCCTCGAGTTTGTCATTGTCAACTAACTCTGTAGTCCAACACAATTGACAAAAGCAACGTACCTTTCAGACTCCCGAACAATTGACAACGGCATTTGTCAAAACCTGCCTTGTGAGGATAGTATAAGAGATGGCGCATCACAAAGGAGCCAGGAGAATACTGGGACAATTTCTATGCCACCTTTATGGCGCTCTATTGGCAGGAAGTGAAGGGAATGCTGTCGTACATTATCAACGATACCAACGGGGGCGTGGAATGGGAAACCACTGGCATAACTCACGAAGAGTGTGCTGGGGAGCTGAATGAATGTTTTGAAGCAATCCGCCAGGAGCTGTCCAGGGGTGTCATCGACATAAAAGAAGCAGTGGATACCAATCAAAAAAATTGACGTGCCCAAGGAGGAAGATGTCAAAAAGTTGGAGAAGGAAGGATGATGCCGAAGATTCAGAGGAGGAGGATATCAAAGATTTGGAAGAAGGCGATGTCGATAACACAGAGGACGAGCTATGGAAACGCGTTATTCCAAAGTACCCAGACGCCTTTACTAAGGGCGCCTTAGGCTTGGCGGAGGCGGCAACTGTGCACGAAGAAAGTGCCCAAAATCTGACGAGGAACAACATTTGATCGTCCAATGTGAGAAGCCCGAGGGAACAGTGGGAAATATCTCTCGCTGGGCAGTTCGAGGAAGCCCCCCTCCAGACAACCTATGAAAAGGCTAGAACGACCACAGTTTCCGAAACTCCCAAGTCTTCATCATCCCCTAGATGCTCTGGGCATCTCGACAGTTCTCAACCTCGCAGCAAATTCAGAGCCACCGAAGCTTTCTCAATTCCCAAAGGCGCTCAAATCTTTCGAACACTGTAGAACGACTTTTTCAGCTCCTAAAGGGGCAAATCACTCAAGAGGTGACTGCAAGACTTCTTAGTTTTCGAAAACTAGCCAATATTGGAAGACTTTGACTTCTCACCCCCTCCTTTTTTCCCCGTCGTTACATTCTCTTTCTTTTTATGGGTTGTTTGATTGCTGAATAGAAGGTGACGGCGTTTTGGTGCTGCCGTTTGAACAGTTGCTGTTGATTTTTATTTGCTGCGATGTAGACACTAGATAATCAATTGGAAACACAGCTACTATTTCGATACGACCTTGCTTTTATCACAATTCTGAATTCTGAAAGCCGATTCTCACATATATATACCCCTTGCAGCAAAACACAAACGCCATGGACCTTCTCCCTTTTTGACCCAAGTATGTCCCACCCATCATGACCCTATTAACCCCCCTACACAAAACCATATCCAGTACAAATATCCCAGACATATCCGTATCTCAACCCTATCCCTATCAAACGCCTGATAACCCCTTCAAAATGTCAAAAAACACTGCAGTCTGCAAAAAGAATTACTCAAACCTCCCGCCCCCAAACATCCCTCCCAAAGCCTTCTTCCTCTCCCCCACCATGGCCCCCTTGAACTTCTTGTCCTCCCTCCTCTTCTCCTTCTCCGCCAGTGCCGACAACCTCTCGTTGCCTCTGGCGAGGTAACCAACACCCGACTTCTTGGAGGCAGTCTGCTTGATCTTGATACCGCCGTCTTCAGCCCTGACTTGCTGCAGGTTGGATGTGGTGACACCGGTAGAAGACATGCCCGCTGACGAGGCAGATAGAGTAGACGAATTGGTAGTGGCACGGCGGAGAAGGGGTGGGATCTTGAACGAGGACGACCGATCAGATGAACCAGCGAACGCGAGCCGGGTGGAGGAAGAGGTATTGGATGATGTGCGCTTGAGGGAGATGCGGTCCACGATTTGAGGCTTGCTGTTCTCTTTGTTGGAGGAGGCCGATGAGGGATGGGGGCCTTCACCCTCCGAGTCAGAGTCGAGAATCGTGGCGGGGATGACGGAGGAAGATTTGTAGCCAGGCCCGTCCTCGAGAAGGTTGGAGAGAGACTCCCTAATCTCGCCGATGTTGGAGGGCTTCTTCTTGTTGGTGAGGCCTGGCTTTGTGCGTCTTGGGTTGGTAGATTGCTGCTGCTGCTGCTGCTCTTGGGGTTGACTGTCGGGGATGGTGACTGCTTCATTAGAGGAGTCGCCAGTTGCAGAGTTCTGAGAGTCAAGACCTGGAGCAGGAGGAGGAGGCGCCCAGATGAAGTCCATTTCGTCGTCTGAACCACGGTCCTCGATGGTTTTGAGGAAGGCTTGGTTACGTGGGTTCTCGGCGACCTTGCTGATACGTTCATCGGCAAAGAGTGCACGCTGCATCTTGGCGAATTGGCGGCGCTTCATACGACGGAGGGCCTCCCCGCCGTCATCTTCATCATCGAGCTCATCCCAGTTGCCAGCGCGCTTGCGGCGCAGGAGACCAGTAGTGATGTCGTGGAAAAGCTTATTGACTTGCTTCTCGTCCGCAGCACGTTCACGGTCACTGAATACAAGTTAGTACCAAATTGACCCAAAGCCATGAGAAGAAACATACGCATAGAAAGAAGCCAACTTGCGCTCATCCTCCGCCTTGTCAGCCGTCTCATCATCAATCATCTCTTGCACAGACTTTGCGTCCTCGTCGTCAGTGTCTTCGCCATCCGCACCACCCAAACCAGCATACTCATCCTCGGACTCCTCGGCTTGCTCCTCCACCATCTCACGGGCCTTGCTCTTCTTCTTGTCAAATGCTTCCTTCCTCTTGCGCTCCTTTTCTTTACGGGCAGCCTCCTTCATGGCAAAAAATGCATTGTTGGCAGAAGAAGCAGCGTCGGTCTCGATGTCGTCCTTCATAATCTCATCTTGATCCTCGTTTTCAGAAGCAGCAACTTCAGCTCTCCGGCGAAGCTTACCAGTGCGCCGTACCAAGGGAGAGTCGGCTTGACTGTTTTGGTTCGCGGGAAGGGTCTCCACCGTAGAGGCAGGCTCCTCAATAAAGCTCCGCTGAAGAGGAGTAAAATTCTTGAAGCCAGAGTCTTGAGTTGGTTCGATCAGCTCTGATACCTGGGTAGCTTCAAACGTCTCATCCCGCAAGAACGAGTCAAAGCCGTGGACCTGAGACTGCGAGAACTGGATTTGGATGCCCTGTGTCTCTGCGTCTTGCTCACCAGGGGCTGGCTGGCTGTTCAAGACGACACCGTCCGCTGGTTCCTGAACAGATTGTGAGAACTGCGAATCGGGGAAGGCGCCCATATCAAACGTAGGCCTGGGTTGGGAGGGAGAATCAGGAGGAGCCGAGCCTATCTGACTGTCGTCCATGGTGCCCTGGAAGATCTGGGTCAAACCCAGACCGGCAGGGCCAGCAACGGGAAGACCAGGAATGAACGTCTTGGTGGCTGAGCGCAAAACTGAGGTCGGGACGCTGGGGGAGGTATGTTGGCGGACAGAGGGTGACTTGGCTAGAATCTTCTTAGGATTAGGCGTAGCCTTGACAACACCCTCATCGGCCTCGTCCTCGTCATCAGACAGAACAGCAGTCTGTTTCCACGCCCTGCGACGGGCCTGCTTGGAGCTGGCTGTAGGAAGACCATCCTCGTCATCTGAGTTGGGCGCGTCAACCTCCTCCGTCTCCTCATCGGTAGATTCCTCAGCAGCATCGTCGATTAAAACACCACCATCCTCCATCTCCTCCTCCTCGTCCTCATTTTCCTCCTCACTACCAGAGAGCTCAATCTCCGCCTCCTCCTCACCCTCACCAATCCAGCTCTCTCCATCATAATCACTGTCATCCCAATCAAGTGGATCCTCCCCATTCTCCAACCGCTTCTTTCTCCTCTCCTCCTTGGCATCCGCCCTTTCCTTGGCCATGATCTCCTCAGCCTCTCTCCTCGCCTTGGCGACAATGTCCTCAACTTCTTGCTCTTCCTTTTCTCTCTCCTCAGCAGTCATGACAACGATACCCTTGGCCCGGAGAGACTCAAGGTGCCTTTCCCGCTCAAGCTTGGCCTGCGCTTTGGCCCGCTGCATCAGAGTCATCTGCAGCTCGCCCACCGTCATGGCAGGTTTCTGATGCTGCTGAAACTTTTGCTTGGTTGGTACCGGTCCCGCCTTCTTGTCCGGGTCATCCAGTTGAGCCAGACGGCGGAGGTTGAGAAGAGCTTTGGGCTCCTTGTTTTGGTTGGGGTTGACGCGAGAGAGAATCTGATCAATCTTGGAGGGCATTTGGACTTGGAGGTCGTCGTCCTCATCGTCGAGAGAAGCAGTTACTGTGTTGGCTCGGACAGAGAACTGCGGAAACTTGACGCGGAGATTACGCTTTACGCGGGGCATCTGGTGCTGCTCTTTGGCCTTGTCTTCGGCCTCAAACTCGGCGGCAGTGACTTTGCCTTTGCCCTTGTCGAGTTTCTTGGGGGCAGCAGCTGCTGAGGCGGCCATCTCTCCGACCGTGGGGAGCTCAACGTCACTGTTGTCCTGGAGTATCGTCTGTGGTGCTGGAGTCGCCTTCTCCTTCTCGCCCTCGGGAGGTGAGCTAGGAGGTGTGTTGTCCTCCTTGCGTTCAGCATCACTCTGCTGAACTGAAGCTGGGGTACCCGCCCGGCTAGAGCTGACTGGCGCAGCCTTCTCCTTTGGTGGTTCTGTTGAAGCAGCAGCGCCGGCAGGCTTGAAGTTGAACCTCTCGAACAGGGTGGATTTGGTAATCCTCTTCTTAATCTTGGCCTCGTGCGCAAGTTGCAAGGCTCTGGTCATCCGCTGCGTTTCTCTGTTCATCTCCTCCAATGCCTTCTTGCTAGCCTTGCGAGCGGAGGGCCGTGATTTGGCACCCTCTTGTGTGAGCTTGTGGCCACCCTCGTCGTCCGTAAAGTCCTCGGGATCCTCATCATCCATAATGGCATTCCTTTCGGCCTTCTTGCGAGCCTCCTCTGCTTCCCGAGCAAGTCTTTCCGCCCTCTTCTTGGCAACCAGTGCCTCGAATTTCGCATTCTTGGCCAGACGAGAGGGGCTAGGGAGGTCCTCATCATAACTGCCAGCTTCTCCAGAGGGTTTCGAAGGCGATACAAAAAGTTCTTGTGGCGCTGGACTATGGTTCTGTTCTGGTGACGGGGATCGTGGCGCTGTTGCTGTTGGCTCTTGTTCTGGTGTTGCGCTCCGTTGGCGACGTGCCTTCAACTTTCTAGGCCGCGGGGCGATGATCTCGTATTCATCTTCGTCGTCATCCTCGGCTTCTTTTGTCGCAGCAGTCTTCTTGGGTGAAGAGGGTTTTGGGCTGTCCTTCTCAGATTCTGAATCGGCTGTGGGTTCTGTGTTTCCGCCCAGCATTCTCGCGGCCAGTTTGCCCCTTGGTCGTAAAATTTCCGCGTCGTCTTCTCCTTCACTGGTACTGCTGTCGCCTCCATAGTTGAGGAATCTGTTATGGGTGCGAATACGCGTGGTGGTAGGGCTGGCGAGGGGTGTCGCGCTGCCACTTCGCCTTGAGAGGGCGGGAGAGGAAGACATGGCGAAGTATATTGCCAAATAAAGGACGAATTCGGCCTAAGAATTATAAGTGAAATGCTGAACTCCAAAGCATAACCCGATAACTGCTCGACAAGAAGTTCAAAATGGGTCAATGGGTGGAGAGGTGGTGTGGTGTTGTCGAGGAAGAGCACAGGGTATGGCGGCATAATACCTACCTATGTTTAAGTGCCCCACCACGGCGCGTCGCGATTGCTGGGAAGCGCGTCAGAACGCGACCACTGTGAGCTGCAAACGGGAGTTCCGTTTCCACTTTTTGATGTGTGGCACCAGCCACCACCACCCCCATCAGGGGCTTAAAACCCACGTTAATTTTTCTAGAATTTTATAATTTAACTCTTTTTCCACTAGAAAAGGTATCCAAATATAGCTTTTTACTTTTGATTCAACTGTAAAACTCCTTTCTTTATAGTTATTATAGCTAAAGCTTAGTACCTGTTATTATTTTTATACGTACTTTTTTAAACCATATTTTTATAATTGCTGTAATACTTTCTAAATTTATTTATATTATTTAAAAATATTTAACTTATTAATCAATAAATTAGGCTTTTAAACGAAATATAAAATTTATTTTATAAATTTTTATTAAATATATATTTTTATAATAATTAGATGTCACAACCCTAGGGTATGGACGAGAGTAACGATTGGTTGTGGAACCACGGGAGCAGGGGCCAATCGGGAAAACATCTAGGAGAGCCAATTACAGGGAGGGACAGTAATTAGTACGATTAGAGCACTAATCTAACTGAGTAGGCTAAGCCGGTGTAATTAGTGTAATTAGGACACTGATTAGGCTAAGCGTAAGTAATTAGTATACTCGGGACACTAATCAAAGGAATTACGGCTAGGAAAAGAAGTCTATATATACGGAGGAACTAGCTAGTATAGATAAACAGTTCCGCAGTATACAATTTACAGTTATATTTACGGTATCTTATATTTATATCGAGACATTTTATTATGCACTATTTAGCTGCACTGAACTAATTATTAGAAATTACCTTTAACCAGTATCCCTTTTAAAGGTTTTGTATAGAGGTTCGTTATAAAAAGGGTAATACCGAAAGTAAACTTTAAGTTAGATTAAGAATCTTCCTAGCTTTTCTTTTATACTTTTATAGCGATTAGGTACCTCGAGTTTAGTACGCTTTTTTTCCCTACGTAAGGTACTAATTTCTTAGTAAAGTATAGTGTTTTCTTACGTAAGAGTTTCGTAGGAAAAACGTGACTTATCTTTAAGCTTTTAAATATAAGCGAGAAGCTAGTCGATAGTAAATTAAGTAGATATCTTTACTTAAGTATTAACGTTTCCGGCTATAGTATTAATTTAATACCTTTAACTTATTTATAATAGAGTTAAAGTAAGTATATAACGTGTAACGAACCCCTATATAGAACCTCTAAAAGGGATACTAATTAAAGGTAACTTTTAATAATTAATTTAGTGCGGCTAAATAGTAAAATAGTAAGAAAACATATAAATTAACCACAACACCACAAATATACTCTCAACAGGTCCCTAAATAGACACGCCTGCATAACAGTGACTCGCTCGCAGGCCGCACTTCACTCAGGACAGATAAAAGACACTATAGGCTCGCAGGCCACATAATAAGCACCGGGTTGGCTTGATTAGAGGGCCAGGATTGCCTGCACGCGTGCAGAGCACAAAATATAAAGAAATAAAAGTCGATGTCTTGTCTAAAATAGAATGTCCGAAGCAGACCGCTTATATATATAACCCCTGAACCCCTGAGTCCTCTGAGAGCCCCGCTTCCTTACTCATACTCTTAGGCCTGTGGCCGCATGTCACAGTTAAGCCAAACAGGCAGGACGGACCGTGTGCGGGGCACAAGACGCACAGCCAATCGCTAACAGGACCAATCAGGATAAGGATACGCGATTATAGACAGCAGACTGGGAAGACACAGTGATCGCGGCAACACAACCAATAGGGAGCCACGGAGGATCATAGCGATCATTGTGATCATTGGGAACGAGCGGAATGATCACTATGATCAGGGCTTGGCACGAGGTCTATATATACGGAGGAACTGGCTGGTGTAGATAGACAGTTCCGCAGTATGCAATTCACAGCTTGTATTCACGGTATCTTGTGTTTACATTGAGACATCTTGTTGTGCGCTGTTTAGCCGCACCGAACCAATTGTCAGAAGTTACCTTCAACTC